TATAAATATAGTATTATTAAAATAAAAATACTTAACAAATATTAGGTATAGAAACATAACTCAATGTAAAAGTTGGAATGCTCCATTTTCTCATAATAGTATAAAAAAAATATATATCCATCTAACTTGTAAAAGGAGAGAAGATACAAAATTCTTAATATTTTTTATATATTTATTTGACTTTTATGACATAATATATTTTCAGATATTACTTGAAAATATATCAACCAACATTGAGTCAAAATGCCTTATAATTCACGATACAAAATCTAAAGTAATACTAATATGAGAGAAAGATGCTTTCAAACTGAAAAAATTAAGTATATGGGAAGTGACGTTTTTGTATGAATTAGACTTATATATGTAAATTAACATTATTAAGTTAAAAAGTGAACACGGTACCAATTCAACCCAATATTTCTCATTAGACGGTCCCATGTGACAAAATGAAAAAAACATTGGTTATTTTTGCTTAACTAATGTGACATCCTATAACATTATGATAGGTTGCCTTGTTAATTTGAGGCACAAATCCAACGATTGAGGATGCCGTGTGATTGACCGACGACTTTATAAGAAAGTGGGGCTTCCGGCTCATTTCAGTTGGTGTAAAAGCATTCGCCCCTGCAAGTGTCGTCGCCAATGGTAGCATAGATCATATCATGTCATTTGTGGTGAATTCTCAGACTTACTAGGTAAGTGTTATGTTACCAAATCCAACGATTGAGGATGCCGTGTGATTGACCGACGACTTTATAAGAAAGTGGGGCTTTCGGCTCATTTCAGTTGGTGTAAAAGCATTTGCCCCTGCAAGTGTCGTCGCCAATGGTAGCATGGATCATATCATGTCATTTGTGGTGAATCCTCAGACTTACTAGGTAAGTGTTATGTTACCAAATGAAATGCACAACTAGATGGAACCCGCTCAGAGTTGTGCGATTCGTGGTGTCAAACCTTATAATCAAAGTATAGCAAGAAAATTAATTTCAATCTGCGAGCTTATCCTATCTCCTATCTAAACATATCTGAAAGATTTAAGCATACCTCAAGAATTCCTTTCCAAGAAGCATCCGTGCATGACTAGCGGGATGGAGGCAATAGTCACTCTGTTCGTTAATAGTAAGATGAACTTGACATGGGCAATCTCTACTGATTAACATCTCCATGAACAAGCAGTTCGCATCACTATATTCCGGAAACA